GTGTGTGTGCGTGTGTGTGCGTGTGTGTGAGTGTGAGAGAGAGAGAGAGAGAGAAGGGGCTGGCTCGGCTCCAGCCTGATTTGAAAGTTTGTGAGTGTGTGTATAAGGGGAGGTGGGTGGGTTCGGCCTCAGCCTGGTGTGAGAGTGCATGAGGAGATGGAGCAGGCTTGGCGGTCTGGCAGTATCTGGTGTCCCCGGGTTTGTGCCACTCTCAGAGTGTTGGTGACCTGGGGTTTAGAAAAGTAGGCTCAGCCCGATAAAGTGACCGTTTAAAATAAAAGAGCTGTACTGGCTCATCTCTTTGCATCTGTTTTCTCTGTCTTCCCCTTCTCATTCTACAAATCTTCCAAGCAACCTCATTTATTCCTTTGATTTTAAGTAGCGAATCTATCTCTTCAGTCAAACTTCTTTCTTGAACTTCATGTTCATATGTTCAACTAAACATCTCAGACACCTCAAACGTGATGTAAATGGAAAGGAACCCTTCTTCACCAGCTAAATGTGCATCTTAAAGCCAACTAATAAAATCCATTGCCAACTCATAGCGACCCCATAGGACAGAGTAGAATTGCCCCATAGGGGCCGACTGGCACATCTTTCTCCTGCAGAGTGGTTCGAACCACTGACCTTTCAGTTAGCCCAGTGCTGCTAACTGAAAGGTTGGCAGTTGGAATCCACCAGCAGCTAGCATCCTCTCGCGGTTATCCAGATAGGCTTTGAGGAGGGCTTGAACCTGGATAGCGGCATTAGGAAGGAGCAGGGAGCCCATGAAAGAGTAAATGAGCCAGCTAAAGGCACCAGCCAGTCCACAAGCCTGAGAGTCATGGCTCCTCCTGCACCTTTCATACCCACAACCACTTGTCCTACCCTTAGAAATGTCTTTCGTGAGCTCCCTACTCCATTCTTGATGCCACTGTCCAGGTTCAAGGGTGTGTGTGTGTGTGGAGAGGGGTGCTATCTGCTAGAATCTATTTATGTAGCATCCTAGGTGCTTTCTGATGCTTTCAGCCCACTCCCCCCACCTCTGCCACCTCTGCCCCACACCTTTGACCATGTCAAGTCTAAAGTTTTAATGTGTCTCCTTTGTTTCTTAAATAAATGACTAAATACTTGGTGTGCTGTGTAAAAGAAATCTTCACTGAGCACTCCAGTCAGCTTTTCTAAGAGCATAATGTTTGGAGTTGGAGGTACTTAATTTGATATTTTGGCTCTACCACATAGTATCCATGTATCACTGGGCAAGCTTCCTAATCTTGCTGTTTCTTTATCTGTCAAATGGAGATTATAATATCTACTTTATGGAGTACTTATAAAGATTAACCTGGCACATAATTGTTGAATAAATACTACTAATAATTCTCAACCTCCACGTTGAGACTATGTTGTAACTGTTTTATTTCTAAACACTTTATCCTTTCTTTCCTTTGTGCTTTCTTGTCTTTTTTTTGGAATGCAGTTCTTTCTTTCCATGGAAAACTCCCACGTGCAGGTCTAGCTAAATCATCCTCCCCACTTCTATTTCCTTCTCCCCCAGGAGTACTTCCTATTATGCTCTCCAGCGTTTTACATATCCATTACTATTTTAATACTCATCCATTGTAAAAATAATAGCTATCATTTATTGAGTGTCTCTTATGTGGCAAAATCACTGTTAGGCCCCTTGTATACATTATCATTCACAGTAGTCCTTCATTTAGTGATGAAGAGGAGGTTAATTACATATAAGTGATAAAGTCGGTGTATTAGCGTGGTTCTATCTGACTCAAAACTCAGTGGCATTTCTCCTACTACAGGCTGCTTTTTTTTGGTATGGTAAGTGTGAGATGGTGAGATCTTTGTGGATAAGAATCCTCCAGTACTCATTTCTGTATCCCTAGCACTTATCATAGAGGCTTCCCTATAGTATTTTCTGAAAATTATTGAGTGGATAAATGATGTACTTCCTCCTCTTTTTCTATCCCAGGTGAAGTAGGTAGAGTAGGTGGTATCTCCATTTGACATTGAGGAAGCAGAGGTATAGTGAGGCTTTGAACAAAATATACTGGTTTGAATAGAGGATTAAGAGATTTGGCAGAAGTCTAATGCAAAGAAAGAGTCATTAATAGGATCTAAGTTTCCTGCCGCAAGATCTTTATTTTGTTAGGCCTTAGTAGTTGTGATCCAGAACTATTGATGTGCATTAAAAAAATAAGTATATAAAATAAATGAGAGAATATACAAGAGAAACAGAGGCTAAAAAAGATGCAGGAACATTTGTTAGGAGAGTCTCTACAAAACAGACTGAGTAATTAAAGCATGCTAAACTGTCTATTCCATAGGAAAAGATTTTCTGACAAGCCGTGAATCCTCTATGCTCCCACTCCAAATCTCTCCTGTGTTTTCTAAGGCCTACCATCATTAATTTGAGCCCTTTTTTAAACTTTTCTTGAATTGAGAACCATCTGTAGGCTTCTTCCACTTGGAATAATGTGCAGCTCTGGGTTCCTGGGATTTTATGGACTTATGAAATTATACCTTGTAGGCTTTGCCTTCCTCCTCTTGTTATTATTCTAAATGCAGGTAAAATTAATCAAAGTGGGCTGAAAGAAGGGGGAAAAAGTGTCATAACAGGTGAAAATGAATATGGTGAGCAACTGGACGGCAAGTTTATAGGAGAGAGAAGCCATTTTACCCAATTGCTTTGTGACCAGAGTTGGTATAAAGGTTTACCTTTTAGGTCTTATTCAGCATCTGGATTTGTTTAATGTGGCGATCCTCCGTGCATCCTCGAGTGGATCTTAGGAAGAATAACTCCTCATCTCAGTGTTACCCCCGACACAAAAGCTACTGCCTTTGCAAAATTTCTTTGTCTTGTTTTAAACATTGATTTAATAGGAATTTACTGAGTTCCTATGAGATATTAAACATTGTACTTCATTAGTCTTAAAGTATGTTCCCAGTTAACACTTGTGATTGTGAACTGGAATTAGATGTTCTGCTGTTAAAATCTTAGCACTGTCACTTAACCACATCAGGAGCCTGATGACTGGTGGCTCCACCCACGTCACATAGCCACCTGCGACAGGGGTCCAAGAATAAGTGGTGCCTCCCAGTCCTTACAGCCTACAGCATCGGGTGCTCTTAGTCCAGAAGCAAAACTCACCCACCTACGTGCTCTAGGGAACAGCTACACGCTTTCCCCCCAGACACTTGGGTAGCTATCAGCCCCCTGCCTTACTCAGCATGTGAGCCTCTACTGCAGCCAGATACCTGTACCTACACCAGTCACCTCTGCCTGTCTAGGACTGTAGGTGAGAGCCTACACCACACATTCGGTGACCGACTACCTGGACACCTGAGCTGAATCCATACAAGAAAAGTAAATGGACTCCTGGGCTCATATACCTAGTAACATATCTGACCACCTGGTGACAGGACGTTAGAGCTCCAAAGATGCCAATAATCAAACTAGCTCGCATGAGCAGCCTGTTTGGACATAGCAAAACAAAACAAAACAAAACAAAAAGGTAGGACACGGTAAGCAAACATAAAATAAATATAATTCGTTGACGGCTCGGAGACAACAGTCAGTATCAAATCACATAAAGAGGCAGACCATGATGGCTTCAGCAAGCTCCCAAAATAAAGAATCAAGAAATTTTCTGGAGGAATAGAATTTCTTGGAATTACCAGAGGCAGAATACAAAAGATTAATATACAGAACTCTTCAAGAGATCAGGAAGGACATCAGTCAAAACGCAGACTGAGCCAAAGAACACACAGACAACGCAATAGAGGAACTTAAGATGGTTATTCAAGAACATAATGACAAATTTAACAGGCTGCAAGAATTCGTAGAGACACACCAATCAGAAATCCAGAAGATTAACAATAAAATTTCAGAATTAGATAACTCAATAGAAAGTCTTAGGAGCAGAATTGAGGCAATGGAAATCAGAATTAGTGGGATTGAAGATGAAGCACTGGACACCAACTTATTTAAGGAAAAATCAGATAAAAAGAATTAAAAAAAAATGAACAAACCCTAAGAATTATGTGGGACTCTATCAAGAGGAATAAGCTACGAGTGATTGGAGTACCAGAACAGAGGGGATAACAGAAAATACAGAGAGAATTGTTGAAGGTTTGTTGGCAGAAAACTTCCCTTATACTGTGAAAGATGAGAAGATATCTATCCAAGATGCTCATCAAACCCCACACAAGGTAGAGCTCTAAAGAAATTCACCAAGACATATTATACTCAAACTTGCAAAAACCAAAGATAAAGGGAGAATTTTATGAGCAGCTAGGGATAAACAAAAGTCATCTACAAATGAGAGTCAATAAGACTAAGCTCGGACTACTCAGCAGAAGCCATGCAGGCAAAAACGCAATAAGATGACTTATATAAAGCCTTGAAGGAAAAAAAATACCAGCCAAGAAGTATATATCCAGCAAAACTGTCTCTCAAATATGATGGTGAAATTAGGGCATTTCCAGATAAACAGAAG